TGTATTCGAGTATAACGTCAATATGACTTCATTGTATTTCCTATTTTTAAATTATACTGCAGGTATAATAAAAAATACTATAAGATACACGTGTATAATTAGTCTTTAAAGCACTTACAACGTTAAAGGCACTCCGCTTTGCGTCGTGCCCTTAAACTCGTTGCGCGTGCTTTAAAGACTTGATTATACACTTGTATCTTAATATACTATTTCTGATCTGATAAAACTGCCCTCTAAAAATTAATTTCATTCTCGTTTTAAACTTACGTAAATTTTTAGAAATGTTACCCTCAGGTGCATAGCAATTGTGGATAGCCGGGGTTGTAACTTTTGCAGCGCACAGAATATTCTTGTTTCTTTGATTGATTATGTTAAAATGGTCTATAAGCAACCCCTAAACTGCCCTCTAAAAGTAAATTCCATTCTCGCTTTAAACTTACGTTTTTTTTAGAAAATCCACATTTACATGTATAGCAATCTTTAATGGCGGGGGTTGTAACTTTTGCAGCGCACCGAATATTTTTGTTTCTTTGATTGATCCCTGAAACTGCCCTATAAAGGTAAATTTCATTCTCGCTTTAAACTTACGTAATTTTTTAGAAACTTCACCCTCAGGTGCATTGCAATTGTGGATATCGGGGGTTGTAACTTTTGCAGCGCACCGAAAATTTTTGTTTCATTGATTGATTATGTTAAAATGATCTATAAACAACCCCTAAACTGCCCTCTAAATATAAATTTCATTCTCGTTTTAAACTTATGTAATTTTTTAAATAAATTAATCCTTTCATGAATTGCAATCGTCGATTGCGGGGGTGGTAACTTTTGCAGTGCACTAAATATCGTTGTTTCTCTAATCGATTATGTTTAAACGATCTATAAGCATCCCTGAAACTGCCCTCTAAATATAAATTTCATTCTCGCTTTAAACTTACGTAATTTTTTTGAAACTTCACCCTCAGGTGCATAGCAATTGTGGATAGCGGGGGTTGTAACTTTTGCAGCGCACCGAAAATTTTTGTTTCATTGATTGATTATGTTAAAATGATCTGTAAGCAACCCCTAAACTGCTCTCTAAAAATAAATTTCATTCTCGCTTTAAACTTACGCAATCTTTTAGAAATTTCACCTTCAGATGCATAGCGATATAGTGGTTAGCGGGGGTTGTAACTTTTGCAGCGCACCGAATATCTTTGTTTCTTTGATTGATTATGTTAAAATTAATGATCTATAATCAACCCCTAAACTGCTCTCTAAAAATAAATTTCATTCTCGCTTTAAACTTATGTAATTTTTTAAACAAACTAATCCTTTCATGCATTGCAATCGTTGATTGCGGGGGTGGTAACTTTTGCAGTGCACTAAATATTGTTGTTTCTTTGATCGATAATGTTTAAACGATCTATAAGCATCCCTGAAACTGCCCTCTAAAGGTAAATTTCATTCTCGTTTTTAACTTACGTAATTTTTTAGAAATTTCACCTTCAGGTGCATAGCAATTGTGGATAGCGGGGGTTGTAACTTTTGCAGCGCACCGAAAAATTTTGTTTCTTTGATTGATTACGAGATTGATTATGTTAAAATGATCTATAAGCAACCCCTAAACTGGCCTCTAAATATAAATTTCATTCTCGTTTTAAACTTATGTACCTAATTTTTTTAATAAATTAATCCTTTCATGCATTGCAATCGTCGATTGCGGGGGTGGTAACTTTTGCAGTGCACTAAATATTGTTGTTTCTTTGATCGATTATGTTTAAACGATCTATACGCATCCCTGAAACTGCCCTATAAAGGTAAATTTCATTGTCGTTTTTAACTTACGTAATTTTTTAGAAATTTCACCTTCAGGTGCATAGCAAATGTGGATAGCGGGGGTTGTAACTTTTGCAGCGCACCGAAAATTTTTGTTTCTTTGATTGATTATGTTAAAATTAATGATCTATAATCAACCCCTAAACTGCTCTCTAAAAATAAATTTCATTCTCGCTTTAAACTTACGCAATCTTTTAGAAATTTCACCTTCAGATGCATAGCGATATAGTGGTTAGCGGGGGTTGTAACTTTTGCAGCGCACCGAATATCTTTGTTTCTTTGATTGATTATGTTAAAATTAATGATCTATAATCAACCCCTAAACTGCTCTCTAAAAATAAATTTCATTCTCGCTTTAAACTTATGTAATTTTTTAAACAAACTAATCCTTTCATGCATTGCAATCGTTGATTGCGGGGGTGGTAACTTTTGCAGTGCACTAAATATTGTTGTTTCTTTGATCGATAATGTTTAAACGATCTATAAGCATCCCTGAAACTGCCCTCTAAAGGTAAATTTCATTCTCGTTTTTAACTTACGTAATTTTTTAGAAATTTCACCTTCAGGTGCATAGCAATTGTGGATAGCGGGGGTTGTAACTTTTGCAGCGCACCGAAAAATTTTGTTTCTTTGATTGATTACGAGATTGATTATGTTAAAATGATCTATAAGCAACCCCTAAACTGGCCTCTAAATATAAATTTCATTCTCGTTTTAAACTTATGTACCTAATTTTTTTAATAAATTAATCCTTTCATGCATTGCAATCGTCGATTGCGGGGGTGGTAACTTTTGCAGTGTACTAAATATTGTTGTTTCTTTGATCGATAATGTTTAAACGATCTATAAGCATCCCTGAAACTGCCCTCTAAAGGTAAATTTCATTCTCGTTTTTAACTTACGTAATTTTTTAGAAATTTCACCTTCAGGTGCATAGCAATTGTGGATAGCGGGGGTTGTAACTTTTGCAGCGCACCGAAAAATTTTGTTTCTTTGATTGATTACGAGATTGATTATGTTAAAATGATCTATAAGCAACCCCTAAACTGGCCTCTAAATATAAATTTCATTCTCGTTTTAAACTTATGTACCTAATTTTTTTAATAAATTAATCCTTTCATGCATTGCAATCGTCGATTGCGGGGGTGGTAACTTTTGCAGTGCACTAAATATTGTTGTTTCTTTGATCGATTATGTTTAAATGATCTATAAGCATCCCTGAAACTGCCCTATAAAGGTAAATTTCATTCTCGTTTTTAACTTACGTAATTTTTTAGAAATTTCACCCTCAGGTGTATAGCAATTGTGGATAGCGGGGGTTGTAACTTTTGCAGCGCACCGAAAATTTTTGTTTCATTGATTGATTATGTTAAAATGATCTATAAACAACCTCTAAACTGCCCTCTAAGAATAAAATTCATTCTCGTTTTAAACTGTAATTTTTTTAAATAAATTTATTCCTTTCATGCATTCCAGATCGTCTCAGTCTTGCCCAACTTCAGAAAGGACCTAGAATGCTGTGTAAAATGTCTTCCAGAGTGTTTTAATTGCACCCTCTAAATTCTTCTACTTCTAGGGCTTTCTAGATGCATCCTCCTATCCCCAACAAGAATCGTTGATCTAAATGATCTTCAATTGTTCATTCATTTCGTGGGCGGAATTGAAAAATTTAGATGACAACCATTTTTGTGAACATGAAAAACCAGCCTTAGTTTTGTGAAATTTTGTTTTGGACTACTATAATTCAGTTCGTATCTGCGTCAGTCGCCACCGATTTTTATTAAATATCGGCACATCGATGATTTAATCAAATAAATATTTACACTATCATCGTTTATTGACAAATATCACGTATCTGATAGGTTATAGCTTACCGTCGAACTTTAACGCTTGTTGATTTAGCACGGTTTGTACTTATCGGTGAAAACAAAGTGGCGATAATTAATTAATTGTTACGGTGACACGATAATTTCGGTCATTATAAAAAGAGCAATGATCCTACTTATTTGATAAGGATGAAATACAACGTACCTTTGTTTGGTAACGTTATTTGGCGCCACACTCAATTCTCCGCATTTCTTTTAGTTGTGGGGAACTTGCAGGGGCGGAAAAATTGCTTGCTTTAGGTGCACTTCACAAAATTTCGTCTCCAAGGAAACTTCACCCCCTTCCCTTCCGGAGTGTTTGGTACTGGAAGGTGCTAGTATGGTAAGTTTTTGAGAACATTCGGTCTAAAAGTTTCAAGGGAAACGCGCGTTAGTTGTCGCAGTTACAATTTTTGCTGATGTTGTTATTGGGGTGGACTGACGTACTTCCCACCTCAGGTTCGGCAGGGTTACTAACCCTCATCTTTAAAAATGAAAACCCATAACTTTGGCCCCCAACCCCAAGTTAGCCAGGTCCTTTTCGCCAATGCCGAAAACGAACAGCTTCCCTTGAGGTTGATCCTTCACGGCTGTGTGGAAAAGACACCAGCTGCTCACCTGTACCCATGAATTCTGTACCGCTTGACCGCCCCAGGTCATCAGGTTCCCCCGAGACCCAGATGGCAGCCTCGCGGAGCCTAGGTCCTGCACTACTTCCAAGGTCCAAAAATGTTCGTAAAATTTCTTGCCTTACCATTGCTTTAAAGATTGCTGCTTACTTTCTTAAAATTACTTCCATACTTCAATGGAACTTCTTATTGGGGACTATTTGAAATGGTATTGCTTTAAAAATTTCCCCAAACATAAATTGGTTATTGTGAAATCTGAAGACTTAGGAGGAAATGAGTAAGTGAACAATTAGTGTTTTCAAGTAAGCTGGGTTGGTGAAACGAAGTGCAACTTTTGGAAAAATTGTGTTTTATCTTCTTCAGCTTACGAAACCACAACAATAAAACACCCATTACCACTAATAGTACACTTGCCGTTACCTAATCTTAACTCATTAACGTAATCATTTTCAAAACTAAAAAAATAGGTATAGCCTGCAGAAAAATGGAGATGTGCTAACAATTAGCATTGAATGGCGAATCTCCAAATCACGCGAGGCACTTTCAATTTGTACCTGAATCAAACTTTTTTTTTCTGTCGGCGTCGGTAAAAATAAGTAATTAAGGTGGAGGAGGTAATTACTTTTAATGGAACCCCTCTACGTACGTATCGCGAAGGTTTTTCTCTCTCTCGCGCGCAGTTTACCGGCGACGACGAAGGCGTGCAGGTGAGCGTATTCACCTGTTGGTTGGCGGCGGCGGCGTCATCCACCTGATACGTTGTAAACAATTGCGTACAAATTCTGGTAGCCGATTGCATCACAATCCCATTGTAAATGTGAACGCGGTGTGTCGTGCTTTCTAAATTGTAAAAAAAAATATTTACCTACCTGCATAGAAAGTTGTGGAATATGCATATATAAAAAAAGGTCGTGAAATGTCAGTGAATTTATGCAATTGAATGTGAGTGAGATTTTTTTCGAAATTATTTGAGTGCTGAAATGCAAGACCTGTATTTCTACGGTTTGTGATTTTCATACTCGTATTGACAAACAAAAAAAATGCGAACTACAGACGGACGGATGTGGCACTTCCTTTACTTGCATTGCACCTTTTGTTACCGTAACGACTTTTTAAGTAGGTAATAACAGGTGCAGCTAAGAATTACAAAATTTCATTTCGTTTTCTCCCACATTTGCGATTCAATGCAAAATTGTTCGGTACGTAGGCGCTCTCATTGAATAAAAACGAGAGCGCTGCTCGAGCGTCGCAACGCCCCAATTAAAAAACACAATCAGTGAGATTTTCGCTCGTCCAATTTACAATAAATAAATGCAATTAAAAACTGCGCCAATCTCTCTCTCCGTATTAATAATTCACTTCCGCTTTAGCACATTACTAATTAATGGTACTCGAAAAAGAAGTGTAAATCTAGACCGTCAGTGAGGGTATGTTTTAATTAATTCGTTAATTAAGGGAAAGTTGGTTTAATTTCTCTTTTCGATTTACGTGCGCGATGCATTTCACCCTGAAACATTTGGAGACCCTCTTCGTGCTCTTCTGTTTGTGATATGAATAAATTTGTGCTTCTGGTACTCACCTGCACTTTTCTACTTTCACTCTCTTTGCTTTTTGTAGTGATTCCCTTTAAACTTTCATTGTTTCCTCTTTATATTTTGATCATAAACTCTTCTTATCTTTGCATAATTATGGTGTCGGACTACATTGAAGGTTGTCTTCATGTCTCTTCAAATGTGTTAAAAATTAGTGGAAGGTTGTAATTTGTTTATAAATTATTATTTACATTAGGTACACCAAGAACACCTTCAAGTATTTAAATATTTTTTACAAGTATGATGCTATCAGTTTAGAACTAGCAATTATTTACATATTTCCATGTGAAAGTGTTCGGATTGAATTATTCAATTAATTAACATTTAAAAGGGCACCCTGTGTTGGGAGTGTTAGAAATGAGGGTTTTTATTAGCTAGACCACGTAAATCCGATGTTGCCCTTAAAAATTCGCTCACTAACACAATTTCTGTCCCCAGGTATATTTTCCCCTAGAGTTTTTTTTAAATTTGTGAATTGAAAACAATCGAAATAACATGAAAACCACTAATTTTAGAATATCTAGAATTAATATCTGAAATAAAAAAGAAGACATTCCATTTGAAAAATTTAAAAAACTGGAAAATATTGTGAACACTCTGTAAATGATTGTGAAAAATCATTCGATTATTCGAATAACCGGCATTTTTTGTAGGCGCCCCCAAAATCTTATTGTTTTACGTCTAATAGTCACTGAGATACAAACCGTCAAAGTCAAAAATTCTTCGAAATTTAGCATGTCAAAGCAGAGTGATAATCGACTCAATCTGTCATTGGGCACCCTGTAGCAAGAGTATACAGGGTCTTTCTTTTACAGGGACACCTTTTTTCCTTAAAATACAAATATCTCTAAAACGGTCAAAGGTATTGTCTGGTAAATTGGTTTTAATTTTCAAAAAGGAATCTAAATGTGGAATAAAAAATGGGGGTTGCCATTTAAAATAAGGAAGTTTGTTCTGAACTATTAGAAAACTACCACTAAAAAAAAGTTTGTAGTTGAGAACCTTTGTGTGTAAATTTTTCGAAATTTTTATAGGCGTATCTTTTCTACCTTTCCATATAAGGCTAGTTGTCCCTGTAAAAGAAAGACCCTGTATACTCTTGCTACAGGGTGCCCAATGACAGATTGAGTCGATTATCACTCTGCTTTGACATGATAAATTTCGAAGAATTTTAAGGGTGAAAATCACCTCGTCGACGGAATTGCAAAAAATATGTCTCCCCAGGTAAAATTTTGTATGTTAATTTGCAAAAAACTGAAGGGTGGATTCTGTTTAGCAAAAAAAGGGTAACGTTTCTCGTTTTTTAATTAAATCTCAACGATCATCCCATTAGGGACATTACGAATGTAGAACTTGGGTGGCTTCGGCCGCTCCCAAGGATCTAAAGTGTCACAAAGAGCTAAACTACTGCACTTTAAACGCAAACGTAAAAACAAGCAATACCGTTCTTGCACTACTCCATTTTCCCATCGAACACATCTTTTACTACACCGGAATAATTCAGTAAACATATGCAGACATCAACGTAACAGTAAAAAGATTAATGACCGCTGACCATTGAACGCAAAGTGCGCGAGCTGCGGCTAATAAAATCAGCTAGAATTAAAAATTAATTTTTGTTATAAGAAGCTATTCCTCCCCGATGGAATTAACTCAATTAGCGCACCGTGAAATTATACTATAAATTAAAACCGGAATCATCAATCGGCAAGTTTTTTTATTCACATCGATGGCTTCTTTTTCATTACATAAATCGCGATTACCTTTTTTATTGCAGAGGTACTCGTTATCGTTTCCTGTGTGCGAGACGAGTCGCTTTGCTTCTTTAGTTTTTCTAACACGCCGCCGAGAATTTTAATTGTTACCCGGCGGAATCGCCTTGAAATTTGCGGTTGAACTTGAACAGGATTATAGGAATTAGAAACTTTATAGGATTCATCCTGTTAGTGGGTGGGAAACGTGTCACGCAATGCGATCGCATTTGTTACGTTTGCATAGTAATTACGTCCACGGGTGCAATTTAGGAACGCACAATGTGATCGGATTTCGGATTGGAAGGGCATGAGTATAGGTTTATTGTTCTTATTACCAATCGAGATGGTTGGACAATTTTTGCGGTCTCCAGAACGAGAAGAAGCTTCAAATTGTTTTTGATTGACCGAAATGTTGTTCTGAAGATGGTTTTCTGCGGGAATGAACAGATTTCATCTCGGATTTCATTAAAAAGAGGAGCTTGTAAGGAATTCGGAAGTTATGTTATGGGTAAGACCATTGGAGTTCCATTGATTGAGTCCCATTAACACAAAATCATTATTCACAAAGTTGTGTCTGTATACCGAGTGAAAATGTCCACAAGGGGTTGCAATATTTCATACAAAATTCATTATGTCTTAAACCTTCAGGGTAGTACCACTGAATTCCGATTGATAACACTAAATAGTAAATAAGCTTGGCTATATGGCCATTATTAACAAAGTTCTATCTATAATTGATTGTCTGCAAGGGGGTGCTTCTTCTCGGAGTCCACAATTCTAGGATTGGTTGGACGCAGTCCTCCACCTTGTCCTATTCTGCCGTAATCTTTTCATTTCTTCCCTTGCCTACGTCCCTAACTATTTGGTCTATGTAACTAAGCCTATGTCGTCCTACCCCTCTCTCGCTCTCTGACCTACGTTCTATAGCTAACTGTGTCTGAGCACGTGCCCTATTAGTCCAGTACGTGGGTATCAAAAAGAGGTGTTTGAATGCAAAAGGTGGGGTAGTAGCGATTTTTTAGTATTTTGTTAGGCTTGGGGCCCTAATGGGTTATACTCTTTAACTTTGTATAGAACATCTTTTGTCGTGAAAGTCACCGTTTTTGAGTTATTATCAAAAAAACAAATTTTTGTACCTAAAATCCAAGATGGCGCACGCGTCTCGAGGTCAAAACTTGCATTTTTCAGTACGGCCCAAAGCTTAATATCATACAAAAAAATATTCCAAAACCCACTCGTGGGTATTGCCGCGTAACACAAAGTATTGAAACGACGCATCGTCACCAAAAGCACACAAAATGTCGAATCTGCATATTGAAGCGCATCCACGTCCAGAGGAAGAGAGGAGTTATAAGTTATAAAGTTTCAAAGAAATATTACCATACATAAGTAAGTTGGCTATGAGCAGCCTGTGTAGTCACTGCGTATGCCCACATAATTTTTACTATGTGCGAAATGTTTGCCTTTACTAGAAGCGTCTGTGGTTAAAATTTCATAGAAATATCCCCATAAATATGAAAGTTGGCATTGCGCAGTCTGCGCAAAATATGGAGTTAAATGAAACTGATCGAATTGGGCAAATATAGACCATAACAGCTATCAATTAGCGAAAACCCGAAGTCTCTAGGTGGCCCAGGGGCCGAGATCTCGATGGAACGGACGGACGGACGGACGGACGGACGGACGGAAACACGAGCACATAAGCTTTACCTCAACTTCGTTGTGTTACGCTAAAAATCGCTACCACCCCCACCTTTTACATTCAAAAATTCTTTGTACGGTTTTCCACGAAGTTTTCCACATTTCCCTATTTTCCTGTACTAGCTCCAAGACTGATTCGTTTCTTACCCTGTCCATCCAGCTAATCCTCATTATCCTTTTATAGCACCACATTTCTATCCTACTTTTGTCTTCCCTGCCTATTGTCCAGGTTTCGCACCCGTTTTCAGCAGCCGTTTCCTAATTCCTATATTTATCCCAGATCTTAGCAGGTCCCGCTTTTGTTCAAATACTTCTTAGTCTGCGCTATCCTTGCTACGATTATCTTGTGTAACCTTACTACCTAAATACCAAAATTCCTTTACATGCTTTCAAGTGTCGTTTCCTATTCGGATCTTTGTCTTTTTCCTATCCTCAATTGGTTTTTTCTTGTTGATTTTCATACTGTAGTTTCTAGTATTTCATCCATACCGTTTAATCCTGTTTCTAGATCTCTTTCCCTTTCTGTTAGTATTTCTGTCGCCCTGCACTTTAACCCCTAAGTTAAAATCCTGCTTTACTCTATTTAAACCTTCCTCTATGTAAAGGTTAAATATTGCCGGTGACAAAGCGCACCCTGTCTAACTCCCCTCTGCACCTTGGCCTCCGCCTCTCCACCCTCTTCTTAATCACCACGCTCTGTTCCTTGGAGAGGTTGTAAATTACGCTCCTATGTTCATATGCTATCCTCGCTTCCTTCATTATCCCAAATATAGTGTTCCAATTAAATTGCCCCTATTACACTTACCCCTACAGTATCTGAATCTAACCTTACCATCTCTCTTTTTACATTTTCTAATCTACCTATCCTCCTTAAACTCCTTACATTCTATGCTCCTACTCGTAGAATGTATTCCTTAGGCGCTTTTTTGCTCCCCTTAGAATCCGACTGCCTCGTGCACAGCAGTGCGGGATTCTGGACCATTCCATATCCACCTGGGGTTCCCTTTTTTTAAAATACGCCATTTCCGTTGTAAAAGTGTGCAAGCTGCGCTTCCTGGGGAAAGATTCGATGGTGGTTTCTCGTGGCCTTCTACCAATATTTTTTAAAAAATTCATAATTCCTTATAAGACCCCTGGGTAGCACTATTTATAATTACAGCACTTAACAAAGTTCCTTCCATAATTCGTTTCCCGTATGAAAGTATAAGATGCAAGGGCGAGGGGAAAATCACTGTATAAAATTTTGGTGTATTTTTGTAGAATTTCGTTTAGAATTTCGGAATTTTAGTGTAGGTACACAAAATTTGAAGTGGTTTACCCCTCATGCAAGAAGTTGCAACATTTTAAAAAAAAATTGTGGGTAGCACCATTGGAGTTCTACAACAATCTCGAATTGTTGAGTTATATTAATGAATAATAAAAATAATTTAAATAATATGTTATAAAGGCCTTTCTTTCGTTAAATCGCTAATTACTCTTAGTAATTATTGACAGAAAAATAAGGGCGAACGTTTATTTGATAGATACAAAAATAATGCGTAGTTTGGCATTGATTTTGCTGATCTCAATGCCAAAAGTGAGCAATTTACTGTTTGTAAACAAAAGGCATCCAAGCGAGAAATCAATTCGATTACAAAACAGGTGCCTCTATAGCAGTGGTTCCCAAACTTCTTTCCATGGAAAACTAAAATTTCCCATGCCCTCTTTCCCTATTAAAAAAATAAAAAAACTGCTTTTCCTACGAAACACGTAAAAAATCACATATTATACACGGTGAGGTTTTTTCATTTTCACTATGAGGACTCGTAAACTCTAAAAGATACGCTTAAATGGGCAAATTTATGCAGATTAATTTTCCCTTTCAAAGTTTCTTTTAGCTTTACAAATAGCGAAGTTATAAACAACAAAAAACAAAAATGCGATTTTGGAGAATGCGCTGGTGTTAATTTATTTTCAAAAATATCAAAAACCAATTTTAACAAACCCTTGGTAATTTTACGAAACATAAATTATTCCCAGGGGTGCGCGCCCCGCAGTTTCGAGATCACTGCTCTTTAGATTAAAATTATCTGTCCGCCCGTCCGTCCGTGGATTTATAATACTTTAAAAAGCTATAGACACAATTACGAAATATTACAGCTCTAATATGATTTCCGGATGAGTGTTTAGGTATCTGACTATATTCGTCACGTTGTTTGCATCTCGTGATTCTATTGCATATGCAGATGATATGCAAATCTGGTGTGGCTGGCCTTCACAGTGGAATTCATTCAATTTGAGCCGCCTAATTCGTTATCAAAGAGTCCCAAACTGAAGGTGACGCAGTGCTTTTATCATTCAGTTCTAAAGATGATGTGGCCGCAGTAATAACTAAAAATCCGAAAATTAAATCAAAACTATAGTCCAGCTTTTAGAGTTTCGAATCAATTCATTATAAGGGTTCGAGATGTCATCTATTGACAAGAGTAAACTGCCAAACAGTTTCTATTTAATTAACAACTTGGAACTGGAGCACTTGCACATATATAGTGACCGGTTTAGCAATAACACCAATTACTCTCGCACCCCCAAACAGTTTTAATTTATTTAACAAGGTATGAATGGGGCAATTAATTACAAAGTTGCAATTTAGTGAGCAATTAATATAGCGTAGAGACTTTTACGCTTGTAAGTTGGTGGCACCTCCAACCCTTAGTAGACAATTTATCACAGCAACTAATTCGAAACTTTAATTTTTATAGCATAGCATAGACATAGAAGTTGCTGATTCGAAAAAAAATTCTAAACCCTCCTTTGCAATGTATTTTTACTCCAAGTACAGGGTGGGTCTAATATTTCGCGGGCTAACTTAATGTCTTGAAGATAAGATTTTTTAATAGAGTGCTTTTGTGTATTGAATATTCTCCACATTTTGAAAATATTTTGTTCACACCATGTATAATTAAAAATATTTTTAAATTGTGAAGAATATTCAACCATATAATACAAAGGCACTTCATAAAATTTTATCTTCCACACACAACGTGTATAGGGTATTCATATATTTAGCAAAATAGCATTTTTTATACGGAACGGTGGTACGTAATACAAAACAGAACAACGTTTTAAGGAAGAACACTAATACTTGTTTACAAGTGGAACGTTTTTATAATACTCCTTTCAGTTTTTCAGCAAAGCGCATAATTTAAAAATATGCAGATAAGCCCTTTCCCAATGGCTAAACACTTTAATACAAATTACAATGGCAAATGTAAATTTATTCACGGATGGAAATACTTCTAGCCAAAAAAATCTAATTCCTCTGGATGCATTTGTATTCTTCCTAAGTTTATAATACTGTCGTTGCGTGTGATTGGGGGAGGACGATTTTAGGTAGGTACACTCTCTCTAAAAATTCATTCACTTGAGCTGAACCGTTATCTTTAGAATTAAAAATCGCTTTTTTTATTGTTGCATATAAAAATGCAGTTATGTCCAAGAACTGGTGCACCCAATACGGCCATCATTATCATCATTAGTTTTCTCTTTACTCCCTCATACCCTTCTTCTACCTCCTTCAGATCGTCAACCAATTTCCTTCTTTTTCTTCCCCTTTCCATTCTCCCTGCAAGTTCCCCCTATTAATTCCTTCAACAAACAGTTCTTTCTTAGTACATGTCCAATCCAGTTAATTTGCTTCGCTTCATGATCTTTAACATACATCTTTCCTCTCCAATTCTACCTAATACTTCCATATTACTGATCGGGCCATTTGATATTCATTATTCTTTTCCAGGTCCACAATTTAAAAGCTTCCAATCTTTCCTGATCTCTTTTCACTGCCGAACACTCCATACAAAACATTTTATCAATCTGAATTGCATAAAATCATCCTCGACTATTAAATGCTTGTTCTCCATCGCTATTCCGGTCTTAATTTCGTCTTTCACTTTTCCTCCACTTGTTCTATCCTCAGCCCATCTACCATTACTGTTATATCTTCCTGCACTCTCTTTTGCTTTGTTCTTATGAATTCTTAGGCCATACTCTATCTTTTCTACCAATATTTCAAGAGTATAATTACTAAGAATCCTCTTCCCTGCAATGTTCATACCATATTATCTCCATTTCCAACATACATATTTCCTCTGTCTTCTACATAATAAATTAAACAGAGTTGGTGATAAACGGCATTCCTCTTCTTCCGATATCAAACCAATGTATCTTTTTACAGCCCTGATGTTTGCTTTTTGTTTCATATAAGTTTCGTATTAGTCATCTTTCTCTCCAGTTGACAACTTTCCTCTTTAGCATTACTAACAGTTTCTCCCAGTTTACCCAATCGAATGCCCTAAGGATGTCAACAAAAGCTACATAAAGGTCTTTCCTTTTTCTCAATATCTTTCGCCGATCATTCTCACCACCCCTATTGCGTCTCTCCTGCTCATTTCTTTTCTGAAACCAAACTGCTCCTCCCTATATTCTCCTCCATAACTTTCTTCACCCTTCTATTCAATATTTTCAATAAGATCTTTGCTGTGTGTGTCATTAGGCTGATTGTTCCACATTCTTTTTTGGAACATATGCTTTTTAGGTAGAAATACGGTTTCTGAACAGAGAAAATCCTCTAGTCACGGCCGTAATTTTTATTACAAAGAGATGTAATTTCTTTGGTTCCCTTTGCAGACATTTCAAAAAATCTATGCGAATATTATCGACTCCTACTGCCTTCTCATCCTTCATTTCTTCCTTTTTTATCTCCACTGTAATAGAAGATTAAATGTTCTCCTCTACCCATCTCACTTCACTGACACCAATAAAGTCCATATTAGTTTTTAGCATTTCTCTTTTTGGGTTTTACAGTTTCTCGCCCTGAAGAAGGCGAAGCCAATCATATTCCTCTCTTTCTTCTTGGATGCACACTTCAGAGCTTCTCACTTTCGGTACGGTAACATCTTCGTGATTTTTCTCTTGTTAAAAATTGCTTCGGCTACGAATTACATTAAATCTCTGTGCACTGTTGTGAAACGATCCTTTCCATTATAATAAATTTCGAAAAATCATTCGAAGTCCATTTTCGAACAGTTATTTAGCACACTAACGTTACCTCGACTATTTGCAATATAAATTCCTGCTCTTTTTTTTATATACAATTGCTCACACCTACTTATAAGGTAACTGTTTTGTAATTAAAATTTAAATATTTAGTGCAGATGGTACATTGTATTAATTGCGTAAACCTTTTTTTTTTAATTGTTTATATACACTTTCTAAGAGTGCCGCATTCCGTTCTTTATGGACTTTTCCAATTTTATCTTATAAACAATTCGTTGGGCCAGTTGGTAGACGTCGTTAAATTTCGCTCAAAAATTTTGGAATGGAAATATTTATTTAATTGTCATAGGTTGCGTGTGCAAATTAAATGGTGTCAGTGCTTTATTTATAAGTTGTAATGGATTTTCACGGATTTATTAGTCCACGTTTGAAAATTCTTAGTTTTCATTGTGGCACACCAACAACCTTTTTTAAATCAACAATGCGACTATTTCAAGGTTGATAAAAATTCTTACATACTAATTCATTACAACATACATCGCTGAAGTTTCACGTGCGTACATTATCCAGAGACCTATATATGCACTAGTACCAAGATAATTGGACAATTATTTACGGTGATTAGGTATTAAAAACCTGTGGGCAATGACGTATTTCAGCACTCAAATGGTTGCACCTAATATGAGAGCAATAAAAGTAATTATAATCTTATCTTTCAGCGCGCTAAATTAAAGGTCTTAGTTAAACAATTTCAATGGCGTAAATTATCGCAGTCGTATTTTCGCGTTAAAATGGTGTGATTGTCGTCATTACGCGATGTTCGACAGTTGCCATAGTGAAAATGCGGGACCGAAGTGTTCTGAGGTTGCGGAGAAGTTGGTGCAACTCTTCGGATGGCGACAAACGTATAAGGTGGAGAAGCTTCAAAGAAATATACCGTTGAGGGGCACGACGAAAATTTCGCTTTTACGGCCTGCCGTGGAAAAGATCACTTATAAGGTAAATTGTTTTCTTTTTTTTAATTTTTGCTGATATCGTGCGTCGCGCTGTAACACGAAGTCACGTTCAAGGAAAATGAGAAAATTCGCACCCATGTCATGATCGCTCCATTATGTGGAAATGGTAAGGTTAATGCGGTGAACGAGAATTATTTTAGTTGTGCCAGTATCCATGGTAATGCACTATTTTAAATTCCGTCTGTAATTGATTATAATGTGTATTTTCACCGTTAGAGGGGTTTGCTTAAAATAATTTAAAGACATTTCTCCCTCCTTCCGAAAAACCTAACTGAACCTTCCCCCCCACCTGGCGATTAGTTAAGCCAGGTCTTTTTCCTCAATGGCCTGGTGTTACACGCCGCGTTGATTTCTGAACCACTCAAGCTCCACAAACACGACAAGGCCCAAGACTGAGGGGGTATATGATATACGATAAGTGTCACAATTTTGGAAATGAATTTTGTCGGTTACCACCATGGAAAGAGACGGTTGTCAATTAAAAACGCTTTTTTTTAATTTATGGAGTTCCAAAAATAGCGAGGAAATAACCGTGACAAAAATCGAATGCCATTTAGGAGCGAATTTTTAATGTAAATTATAGTTTCAAAAGCAGGAAGTAGGTATTAATCTATTTGTGTATAGGGTGATTCATTTTCGACACTCCGCCATCAAAAAAGTAATACAGACGTTATGGGCTCTTTTTGCATCAAACTTAAAAATCAAAATTTGAACATATTCGCTCGCTCGGGGGAAAATTAAAAAAATTGTCGCGTTCAGAATTACCCTGTCAGAAAAATGGACATTCAACCAGGTGTCAAATTCTTGACAGAATAGCTTCCTATCTGAAACCAAAAATTGCCAACATATGTACGCACTTACAGACGGGAAAAATTTATTCTTTAAAAGTTGCTTAAAATGATCTAAAACGTCAACATTTGATGAAATTTCGCATTGTACCTAGCTCATGCTATGAAGAGAAAACCGTCAATTCGTGGAATTGTATGCAACCAATATTACACGATTTCAGGATACGTCAAACATTTCTTGAACTGTTATCGAACATACCATTCCAATTTATTCGTTGTGAAAAATCGCAATTTGACACTAATAAAAAATACACACTAATGGGCAACTTAAATTTGACATTAAGCGACCATTTTTATAGCATAGATTATTTCAAACAAATTCGCGTAGAGTTGATTACCTGTTTTCATCTATTCCCCATGATTGACCTGTTTTTTTTAAAGGTTACATATGCAACACAATTTTTTGACTTTGACAATTTTTTTCTCCGTTTTTTGATAATATAACCCGGCCCAATTTTTTGTAGGTTGTACACAGGAAAATAAGGTCTTCCAAATAATAGAATAAAAATTTTAGGTTGCTATTTGAAAAAAAAAGTTCGATGCCGTTACGGCGCTCCAAAATTTTTTTTCAAAAATCCGGCCCGTTATTTTTCTGTTCGGTATGCCTAAAACATATATACAGAATTTCAACAAAATCCGTCGAGCCGTTTTCTCAGAAAATTGCCAACAAACGTACGTACATACGTACGGACGTACGTACATACAGACGGAAAAAAATTTTATTCTTTAAAAGTTGCTTAAAATGGTCTAAAACGTCGACATTTGATGAAATTTTGAAATGTTCAAAAAACGGCTATCGCAATAGCTACCTAGCACATGCTAGGAAGCTAAAAAGTTTCTTTATAATAATTGTTGAATACTTTTGCCGTTTTCAAATAAGTACATGGGGTTATCGGACCTAACCTCATTTTTTAAGTGGAATGGAAAGAAAGATTTTAGGATTCTTTTTGAATATTTTTTTTTAATATCTGGAGGGTGTATTTTTTAAAAAAAACATTTCAATATCCTCTCTTTTTAGATTAAAATACAATTATTCAACAATCGTTATAAAGAGACTTGTGTAATAAACATTGTTCCGTATCTCTTTTAAGCAAGGCAATAGAGGGTCGTTCTGAAATTGACGATTTTCTGATTTTCCATCGCATCTCCTAACCCAAAAACAAGCGCATGACTTTTTTCATAGCACTAATGGAACTAAAAGGGAACACCCCGTATCTTTATTTTATAATTTCATTAAAAATATGCTACAAATAAATAGAAAATTGCTGTTTCAAATCGAGTTCTCCTTAAAGTTGTTTATTTCAATGCGAGAGAGGAGAGGAGTTTATCAAACTGAAATTTTGTATATATCCAAAGAATGCAACCTTTGCAAAAATGAATGAGATTTGTATTAGGTATTTGGGAGCGTTTATTCACCTTCGTTTGTTAATTACTATTCTATTGTAATATCTCTGATATTACTTTAGTTTCATAGGGATTTGTTTGGCGAAATTTGTCATAAAAAGTAGGTACATCTGGTCCAATTGCTGGAAGTGCATTTTGTAGAAAAAATAAGTCCCATTTAAAATTAATAAAATTTGTCCCTATAAAGGGTGCACAGTTTATCAAGATATTCAGAGGGCTAGAAACGTACCATTTAGAAGGAATACTAATAAATATGTGGGAACACAACAGACTGCTCCAAACCTATCTAACTATCCACCACTTCAAAGACGGCCCAGCAAGACGAATGAAGACAACCCAAATTTTTCTCAAGCCAGATCAAGTTTCGCACAAATAGCAGCAAAAACACCAAACACCCACTTGACCAACGAACACCAGCCTACCACAGATCAATTGCTATCTAATTTTCTCATGGAATTTAAGGCGATGTTCTCACAATTAATCAGTCAGAACAGCATGATATTAAATATGCTATCAACAGTAATTAACAAAATAGCCTAAATGGCGACATCCTTACGCATAGCTCTCTGGAACGCCGACGGCATTGCAAATCATATTCCGGAAATAATTACATTCTTACAGTTACAAAGAATTGACATATTACTAGTGTCAGAAACTCATGCAACATCGAGAACAAAAATCAAAATTCCACGCCACACCGTATATCTTTCCAATCATCCAGACGGAACAGCTCATGGTGGTTCGGCTGTAATCGTTAACAACAAAATTGCTCATTACGAATGGATATCCTATCAGACTGCTAAAATACAAAGTGCAAGTATAAAAATTCAAGCCCTACCCTTTCCACTAATAATTGCTGCAATCTATAGTCCGCCACGACACTCTATATCTACTGAAGACTACGAAGAATATATACGATCTCTTGATACGAACTTTATTATTGGAGGCGACTGGAACGCCAAAAATAAAACTTGGGGGTCTAGACTAGATAATCCCAAAGGACGTAATTTACTGCGAGCAATGAGAAACCTCAATTGTACTTACCTCTCAACAGGTGAACCCACCCATTGGCCCACAGACACTACTAAACTGCCGGACCTTATTAACTTTGCTGTTGTACGCGGTATAGGAAATACATACACACAAGCAGAATCTAATCAAGACTTGTCGGGTAACCACTCCCCAGTCATAATTACTTTGAGCACAACAATTATCAGAAGAGAACCTGCACCAAGGGTTTGCACCAAATACACTAACTGGGATTTATTCCAAAATATATTGGAGAGAGAAGTTAATCTTGCTATTCGTATTAAAGACTCTCAAGATTTGGACGAAGCAACCTACTACCTAACTACAGCAATCCAACATGCTGCGTGGCAAGCGACACCCAGTTCGACAAACAACTATGCGGAAGAAGCTAACATTCCACGTCATATACGAGACTTAGTTGCGGCGAAACGTAGGGCACGGAGAAAGTGGCAAAGAACCAAAAGCAGAGAAGACAAAACTACTTTAAATAGGTTAACTCACCAGTTGCATATCGCATTACTAGAAGCTCGAAATGAAAATTTTAAACAGTTTATCACGAAACTCTCGCCAGATGACCACACAATATGGAAGGTAACAAAAAAATTCAAAAGACCAACTTTAATGACACCGCCAATTAGAAAGCATGATGGAACCTGGGCTAGAGCAGAGAAAGAAAAAGCAGATACATTCGCCGATTACCTCACTAACGTTTTCTCTACACCACAACCTCAAGGAATACATACAGACCACGAAATTGAATCATTTCTTGACGTACCATGCCAACTTTCACTACCAGCCAAACCATTCTCACCAGCTGAAGTACGACAACAAATCCAGCTCACCAATTGTCACAAAGCTCCTGGATTCGATCTAATAGTAGGAGAAATCCTAAAAATCTTCCACGAAAAGCTCTTGTGCTCCTTACCACCATATACAATAGCATCCTAAGACTTTGCTACTTCCCTGTCCAATGGAAGTTCGCCCAGATTATCATGATAGTTAAACCCGGCAAACCACCTACACAATCCTCCTTTTACAGACCAATCAGTCTCCTGCCTTTAATGTCTAAGATATTTGAGAGGCTGCTGCTTAAAAGAATTCATGAAACAGTTGATCTGGATAGCTTACTCCCATCCCATCAATTCGGATTTCGACACTACCACTCAACTATCCATCAATGCCACAGAATTGTTACCCATATTATGAGAAGCTTGGAGACAAAGCGCATATGCACCGCCTCATTCCTAGATATAAAGCAAGCTTTTGATAAAGTGTGGCACAAGGGCCTGTTATTTAAACTCAAGCTGCACTTCCCAAGTCAGTTGTACCTTGTACTTAAATCTTATCTAGCTGAGAGATTCTTTCAAGTTAAGATCAACAACACGGTATCCGAATATCACAAAATCACTTCCGGTGTGCCACAGGGCAGTGTACTGGGGCCCTTACTATATCTACTCTACACCTCTGACATGCCGAACATGGATCACACTGTAGTAGCCACTTTTGCTAACGATACAGCTATTCTAGTAACCAACGAAAAACCGTAAACAGCAGCGGCACACCTACAAAGTCACCTCGACGTCCTGCAAAAATGGTTCAACAAATGGCGTATCACAGTAAATACAGACAAGTCAGTGCATGTCACGTTTACCAACAGAAGAGTCATATGTACACAGGTCAGAATTAATGATGCTACAATACCTCAAAAAACAGAAACTAAGTACTTAGGCCTACATCTAGATCAGAAGTTAAACTGGAACGCACACATTAAGGCCAAAAGAAAACAGATTGACATTAAGGCTAAACAAATGAACTGGCTAATTGGTAGATGATCCCAACTTTCCCTATCGAACAAAATACTATTGTACAAAATGATATTAAAACCCAAAGGCCTCTCACACCCAAATTCTTCAGAGATGTCAATCGAAAATGCTCCGAACAATAACGAATGCTCCGTGGTACGTAACAAATGCAACTCTCCATGCAGATCTAGGTATTCCATACGTGGCCAACGAGATTCAGGGACTCGCAAGAACATACAATCGCAACTTGGCAGGACATGGGAACGAACTAATAGGTCAGCTGATCAACCAACCAGGTGTCAATAGAAGACTGAAGCGACTATGGCCACATGACTTACTATAATAACAATTCGTAGTAGAATATTACATATGGGGGAAAGTGGCAATGGCCACGGCACCCTACATGACCTGTAAAAAAAAACCATAAAACATTTACTAATTACTTGTTTCAGAAGTAGATTGTAAATTTGCAGATCAATAAAAAAAACAAAAAAAAAAACATTCTACAATGTACTTCGTGATACAATTTTCCAATTAAAGTTGTGCCCAAAATCTAATCAGTTCCTTCCTATCTCTCAGCTTAAAGCGATTTTGGATCAGGAAACACTTAAAGCAAGCTTCAGTTTTAGTTATGACAAGTTATAGTAATTTAAAATTACATATGAAAGTTCTAAAAGACTAAAATTATAGGTTTAGGTCTTCATTGTGCACAAGTAATGTTCTACATTAATTTGCAAAGTGTAAAAGTGAATATAGCCCCAGTTTCTATTTTACTACCGATAAGAATAAGAAGGTTATTGAAAGTTACTACTTAATTGGTATTAATCAGTCTATTGTAACCGTTTTTATTCTGTTTACTGTTGAGCGTCCGCAGAAACGAATGGTAAAGAATTAGAATATCTTCGAACGTACCTTACCCGTAAAGGGGTACGGGTAATAGGCCATAAAAGTGATAAAATTTACCGTTTTATATATTCTTTTATGGAGTACTATTTGTATGTTTATTGTTATTACCGTTAGGTCACTATATTAGTTGAATATTACGTGTACGTAAACCGGCATGAACTGTTTTGTAATTCAAATTCAACTCGGCACCTTCATAATGCTACCACTAAAAAGTTTGATGTCAGGAGTAAGGGTTGAGGGATTAGAACAATTGAAGGATGAGGCAAGACACGTTCTTAACATGCATTGGTTAATAACGTGAGATACGGCAATTTAATATTGAATTTAGAAGGTCAATTTAGTGAAATAGGCAAAAATTGTACCAGAGATCGTGTAATTATGAAAACTGGGTTTTTGGAGCGTACGAGTTCCTAGTTAGCGTATAATTTGTGTAGACTGGATTGGTATACGGTGATATTTTTTCTTAATTAATATTGAAAAAGAAGTCTTCAGTATAGAGAGCCGAAGAGTTTCTTTTGTATTGTAATTAAGGTTTCCCAGCCTCGAGTGTGAAACAAAGGAAAGTCAATTAAAGAAGTGTAATTGGTGAACCTTACGAATTTTTTTGAGTTTAAAATTAGGAGGGCGTTCACTTTTTAATGTTAAACTACCAAACATTTGCCGTGAAGGAAAGTTGTATGTCCTCGAAAATGCATCGTACCGTCACCTATTCTTTAGCGCCAGTTGCGCTATATAAACGAAACCACTAATTGTACCTACTACTAAAACAAAATTAACAAGAAACTACAAGGCAACAGGTCGATACAGAAGCTAAAGAGTAAATGAATAGGCGGTTGATGACCGTAAAATTCTCATACTGAATCGGATGTAACGTTTCGATGTGGTGTGTCTCAAGGTTGTAGGTGAGATACACTTTTGTAAAAGTCAGTTTTTAGTTAAGTGTCTTCACACGGACGCCACTCATGGAAAGTTCATCGGAAGTACTTATTGATCTAATCTAAGACAGATGATCCATCTTAATTTTCGTTTCCATGACAGTAACTCGTCAGTAAAGGGGGGGTTTAAATTTTGCTCTCAATATCAGGGGTAGAATTTTATTAGAAACCGCCCTAAGTCAACGTGATTTTAACTAGGGGGTAGGGTGGATTATGTTTTGCGATCGTTCTCAAGGGTTGAGGAAGGGTAGGAACTTGTTTTTTTGTTTAAATATTGTCTCTTAATATCTAAAATGGATTTTTGTTAGAAACCGCGCAAAACAAAAGTAAATACAGAGTGGAAATTTTGTCTGTAACATTTCACACACTTCAATGGTTAAGGAGTGAATATTTTTTGAAAAAAATACGCTATTATATTCGTTATTGCTGGCAGGCCGGCTGTCCGCGTGAGATCTCCACAACTACAATAGCTAGAGAATTCAAATTTTCACTAAAAGCTTTCTGCTATAGTGTAGATGTGCAGGCACTAGTCTATTTTGAGTTAGATTACTTGTGAGATCGATAATTGAAGAAAATAATTTCGATATGGGTTTCGGAGGTGCTATAATTTTACCGTTAGATAGCGCTACCAGTATAAAAACTTATTATTTACTTTGTGATTTGTTTTACAAAATGAAGACGTACCGTCAATTGAAATTAAATAAAATTAATTATTTAACGCAGCCAAAATTACTCGTGAGATCGATAATTTTAAACTTCGCTAATAAAATACTGACCTGCATTACCAAAAATGCGCTTTAATCATGCATATGCTGATTTACAACTTGTTTTAATGGCATGCATTTGAAAACGGCAGAAAGATATGGCAATTTTTCTGTATATCTTTTAGCAACGAAATTACGAAATAGGCAATTTTTTTGATTTTCCCCCGTAGGTGAAAAGGTGACCAAGGACACTGCCTTGTGGGACCCCAGATTTTATACGATGATAATTGGAGTGTTCGTTGTTATACTTGACTATGAAGAATCTATCAGAAAGGTAAGATTTAAGGAGAAGGAATAATAGCTTGGAAGGAATCTTTTTAATGTATGTAGTATCCCAGTGTGCCATACTTTATCAAACGCCTGGGCAACGTCCAGAGCACGGCTGTACAGAATCTCTTTTCCTCGATATTTCATTTACTATTCGGTGTACTTGTTGTGTTGTTGAGTGGGCTCCTCGAAATCCGAATCGGTGCAGTGGCAGGTGAGATGATTTATCCTTATTGTTCAGTCGCCTTCTAAAGAGGAGTTTCTCAAAGATTTTCCCTAGTAATGGCAGAAGACCCAAAAGTCAATCAAAAGTCACTATGACTACGATTAAACGACGGAGAGAGGGGGGGGGTACTATTTTTTGCTCCTCAAGGGGTATTTGTGACATTGAGTAATGAAAACGTTTTTAGTTTCGTACCTGAATTTTTGCAGACTCCCCCATCCCCCTTTATAACGTATTGCAAGGGTGTTCTTAACAAAACGGTGTACTTTTGTCAAATAATAAGCCCCGTGCGACCTGAAGAAATTGGTTTCCAAAGGTTATCTTCTGATGCAAAGGATGAATACAAAGTATAGCTTTCATACTCTTCACCGGCGTGGTCTTCAGTGTTATGACATGCTATCAGATGAAAAATGACTACGAAGTTCTTTGCAATAAATCTTAATGAAAATTCGAGGATTCTTTGACATCCTGAAGGAGAAGCAAACGTTTAGCGACAGACCATCAATAACAGCTAACAGTTAAACCAACAATAGAACTATCTCACACTACTCGTGCTTCGCACTTTTACATATCCATGCGATTAGAAACCATTTTTTTCCATTTGCACAGTAAATTTCACAACGGTAAAAGTAGGTACCATTGTATATGTATGTGTGGCATATCCTAACATTATCTTCCTTCGACAATTACCTACAGCAACTACAACCTCCTATTGCAATACGTAATTTCGTTCGTAACAGCTGACATGGTTTGACGTCCTGCAGATTAATGACCCTACGACGGTGAAAATCCAGCACCTGAAACGGTTGCGAGAGATCAAATTTTCATCGTCATCGGCGAAATACGGTGAAAGATGAAAGTAATTGAAGACGAATCCCGTACGATTATTGGGCAGCGCGACTTTCACGCGGAGAGGCAAACTTGTTTTTAAACATACGCCTTTGGCGGTATTTTTTCTTCATAATTTCCCTTTTATAAACCATTTATCCGCATAATTATTTCCAGAGCGATCGACTTCCAAAAGAGGAAGTTTCACTTTTTGTTAAGTTATTTTATTTACTGCTGAATCGAGAGCGACCTTCTCGGTCTTTTGTTAGGTTTATTATAAAATGAAGACACGAAAATGACAGGACATCCTGGTGTGGTATCTCAATGTCTAATTTTCGTAATTAGTTTCTTGATGATACTGTAATTTGGTGTACGAATTACTAAATTTTGAGCCGGTAACGCATGACAGAGCTGGGTATTATCTTAGGGTAGCTCTCGTTTTTCACTTAAATTTTAGGCACCTTCTCTCTCAAGTTATTTGGAATCATTTCTTGTTTTCATCCCCTGCACCATGGTACACCCCATGTGTATCCTCTAGAGATGTTGCAGGTACAAAACTCAAAAACTGATAACGGAAATTCTGTACACTGCATAATGACTTCCTGTGTAAATGCGACTATATTTCTTTAGATTGAAAGCCCCCAAAGCTATTCCAAAGATGACTTCATTGTCATTGTGATTAATTGCCAGTTGAACACCTGTGACGTTAGCAAGATAAATGAAATGTTTAATGTATGAAACCATCTAAAAGAATGTAACAACGCATTCCACGTCAACAATGTTATCTAAAATTGAGCACTTGTTCCTGATTGCCGTACTTAATTGTTGGATGATGGATCTAAGGCTAGAAAAAAGTTACCGTTTGATGAGCACTTAAACTAAAACTGTTCTTTGTTGCAGGGCCCCGACTCTTGGGTCGTCGTTCACAATTTACAATCGCAAGGAGGAGGCATTTTGGACCCGGACGACCGGTTAAGTGACGTCGCGGACGATCGCGAGCAGATTTTGGCGAGTTTCGAGGACGGCGACGGTGGTCACCATCACGGGGGTGGCGATGGCGCCAGCGGGAGTAGCTCGATCGGTACTGGTAGCCCCGACATCTTTCACGTAAGCAATCCCTTTCTCACCTGCCTATTATTAGCAAAGATTATTGCGACAGGATGGCGATAAGTACGGGCCTTCGTATTCTCGAACTGATATCGAAGTCACCGGGGAGCAAATCGCGTCTGGAATAGCAGGTGTGTTGCATGTAAGAAGAGGGAGTGAGCCTGCTCTAAATCAACTTCCAGCGGGCCCACCGACTCCCTCTGACCACACGAAGCGGTGGAGCGCCGCTCCGTTAATTTTGGAGCCGCCCAGTATGAGCTATTCCAACCCGGACTGGCATGAGGATGCAAAGGAAGAGGACGAGGATAGAAATTTTCATAGAGTCGGAAGGGATGGCAGTAATAGACTTTCCATGCAGTTTTTGGGGGAGGGGAATGGGTTAGTGTCCAATTCCCGTTTTGGTTCATTTCACATTGTACGTTTGCAGATATCGTTGGGCTGAGGCCGCAGAGCGTGCTGCTAACTCCAGGTTGCACGCGAGCACCTCGCTGCCACGCGAGGCGAAGCGCAGAGAACCTTTGGGCCAAGCCAATTCTACTAGTCCCACGTCTACTTTGGACAGTGATTATGTGTAAGTTGCCAGCGCGCATTTTTCCTGCTCAGAATTCACCCTCAACTTTTCAGAGGAGAACTGATAGTAATACGTAACGAACCCGGTCCTTTAGGAATACACGTAGTGCCAGATTACGATAGGTTAGGAAAAGACAAGGGCTTGCTGGTGCAGGGCATAGAACCAGATGGTCGAATCGACCGGGATGGTCGCCTGGCGATTTACGACCGAATCATCGAAATCAACGGTCAATCCGTACTTAACATGCCATTCCAAAGGGTTCAAGAGCTCTTTAAACTATCTTTAACATCAACGGAACTTAGACTGAGAGTGATAAAGAATAGACTGGATGCTCTGCGAAGACCTCCGCCTCCGGTCTTCCCGAAGTACCCCGACGACAAGGAGAACGTTTCGATGGTCGAGTGTGAACAGAAACGTAAGTCGGCAAGCGGGACGAATTGTTTAATTATCAAATAGGCATTGCAGAAAGTACAAATACCAAAGTGGCCACGGTCTCCCCGACGAAAAAGGTACCGGCCGTTTCGCGCAACTTAAAGTCGTTACTCACCGCAAACACGCGACGAATCGGCCGAAAGATCGAGATCGAGTTGGTCAAAGGTCCCCACGGTTTGGGCTTCAGCATAACCACTCGAGATAATCCCGCTGGCGGGAATTGTCCGATTTATATTAAGAACATCATACCAAAAGTAGGTGTTTCGGCTCTTGTAGCGCTTTGTTTTTGAAAAATTTGTATTGTTGAAGGGAGCGGCCGTGGAGGACGGGCGACTGAAAATTGGAGATCGGTTGTTGGAGGTGAACGGAATTGAAATGACCGGAAAGACGCAAGCCGAGGCGGTTACGATACTTCGAAATGCTCCAGCTGGCAGTAAAGTTCGAATTGTGGTTTCCAGACAAGAAGATCTAACCGACGGTTTTCTTCCTAGGGTTGTTGTAAGGCACCCAAAAATTGCGACGAGTTTTATTGACTTTTAAATTTGGCAGGACGTTGATGGTGAGAAAGATGATCGTGATTCGGAGAGGCTGCACAATTCCGATGTGCCACCAAACATTCCCCCGCTGCCTCAAAGCCATTTGCATCAACGCACCCCGGAAAAAGGAAACGCAGTTGCGAGAATCATATCTCAATTCCAAGAGGCCTCCAATGTAAGTAGCTTGGAGAGTTCGCCAACCCTTAGACCCGTCTCATTTCAGGCGCTCGATAAATCGGACGACAACCTCATCTTCCCTTGGAAGCACAAAGAGATCGTCACGTTCGACATTCCGGTCCACGATTCCGAGAAGGCCGGTCTAGGTATCAGCGTCAAAGGGAAAACCAGCGGCACGCAAGATCTCGGAATTTTCATTAAAAGTGTCATAAATGGTGGTGCGGCGTCGCGCGACAAACGCTTGAGGACTAACGATCAGTTGTTAAATGTGAACGGCATTTCGCTCCTGCATCAGTCGAATAGTGACGCAATGGAAACGCTCAGAAAGGCGATGCTTCACACCGAAGGTCCGGTTCCTGGCAGTATTACGTTGACGGTGGCAAGGAAGGCGGGCTCTCCCGGACCTACGAGGGACGCCTCCAGAAGAAATTCCGCTTCCGGTTTGCTCAAGAGTTCATCGGGTAAGAATTTTTCTCTAATTTTGACCTTTCCCTATTATTACCTACTTATGTTAGAGACCAGTACAGAGGTTACCTTGATTATCACAAATTTTAATCCAGTAAAGCCGTTGGTTATTAAGCGGCAGAGCAAATCCATGTAAGCTTTATAGGGGAGTCGATTATGTCCGTCTGTCCGTCCGTGAACACTCTTGAACCGTCGGTTCAAAACTTTCCAGAAGAATCTTCCAAAGCATCAGAAGTCGAAAATATCGAACATGTGATGACCAGAAGATGCTACAGAGGTGCCCGAGGAAGTACCTGCTGCTACCAAGCTTCCAGAACAAGTAACCGAGGCACATGTATCACATATCCAAGAGGAAGAAACAAATGTTCCAGAAGAAGAGCGAACGGAAGGACCGAAAGAATCCATACCACTTCATGGAGACGAAAAAGGAACTAAATATTCCAGAATTGGAAGTAACAAAGGTCCAAGAAGAGCCTGAAAAGGCGGAAGAAGTAACAAAGGCACCTGAAGCCAAAGTTAGATGAAGGTGCCGCTCCTGATTCTACACCGGCTCGATCTGCACCAACGAACTGACGTCATCTGCCGAAGACATGACCCAAGCTCATGCCCAAGCTACTCAAAAACCAGAACCCTACTACTATGCTGCCCGAACAAGAGCCACCAATGACTCCACCACATCCAGGCTTCCTCCACGATTTGGAGAGGAGGAAACAACGCCGTCTGAGGAAGGTAAAGTTCCTCAAGAGTCAAGAAGAACCTAAGCCAACAACTCTACAGCTTTCTGATGCCGAATCGAGCTCTACCCTCAGCCAATTCATAACAGAAGCAACCGCTCGCCCTGGTGTAGAGAGTACAAAGGCACTAATCCCAGTAACAGATGGACACCGGAAAAGGCGGCGGAAACTAGTGTTCCAGAATCGACCAAAGCTCCTGAAGAAGCTAAGAGCTGAAGAAAAAGCGACAAAACCGTCAATCGCACAAGGGACAGAGGCACCAAACAAAGGGGGCCAGAAGAAGAAGCAACTGAAGGACCGAAAGAATCCACACCACTTCTTGGAGACGAAAAAGGAACTAAATATTCCAGAATTGGAAGTAACAAAGGTCCAAGAAGAGCCTGAAAAGGCGGAAGAAGGAACGAAGGCACCTGAAGTCCAAGTTAGACGAAGATGCCGCTCCTGATTCCACACCGGCTCCATCTGCGCCAACGGAAGTTATAACTGAAGGATTTTTGACGTCATCTGACCCAACCTCATGCCCAAGTTACTCAAAAACCAGAACCCTTAACTACTACGCTGTCCGAACTAGAACCATCAATGACTCCAGTTGACCTACATGCCACATGTGACAAGCCTATTGAGAATGGGTCAAATCCAATGACCTCGTGGATCAAACCGAGGTGCTCTGCCGTTTTTTTTAGATCCGCTTTAGGGATTTATGTTATTATAAATTAATCGACCTTAGGAGTAGACTTGTTGAGTTTTAAAACAGCTGCAGATTGTTTTTTTCTTTGGTAGGTGGCGATTTATACCACAGCATGGAAATGGACCCGTCACTTTCCCAAGACAACTCGGGTGCAAGCGGAGGATCAACAAACACCGTCATTTACAAACCGTCGACGATTTTAGATAATAGTAAACCGAGTACGAACGATAGCTTTAACAATATGAACACGTGGAACCCCGTACTGGATCGACTGACCGGCCACAACAAACAGTTGCGGAACGAAAGCTATTACATGGTAAGGGTACCTCCACCTTTCCAACCGGAGCACAATTAACATCTTTCTAGGCCACCCACGACACGTGGAGCGCCAGTATGATGGGCAACCAGTCGATGGCCAAACTTTCCAGTCCAACCGTCAACCTAAACTCTGGCGAGATGATCTTGATCGAGGACGAGTGCGGGCCTAGGGTTCTTCCCCGTCAAAACTCACAGTAGGTTTCTACGTTATAAAGGTTGATCTACAATTTACTTACAATTGTAGATCAAAGTTGTTAAGCGAGAACTATCAAAATGGGAACCACTTGGAAAGTCGAAACGAGCACGAACCCGATGGCAAAGCGGCTTTAACAAGCGGTACCGCTGACAAAAGCGCGGAGTCTACCCAAAACGCTACGTGTGTTAATAACGACGTAACATACGCTAGCCAGTTATCCCTAGAGAATCCAAACGGAAGCGCTGCCTTCTCCAGAGACGCTTTCGGTAGGCAAAGCATGTCGGAGAAACGCCATGCTACTTTGGACGCCAAGAATACCGACACGTACCAGCGCTCAAAGAAGCTACGAGAAGAACGGGATAAAGTTAGGGGGAAAGAGAGTAAGTACTCGTCTCATTCCATGCATGGCCTTTATGTGTTGCGCTTAATTCTGTTGTCGCTAATTGTGTGTCCCTCATCTTCTAACAGCTAATTTGGTTCGTGTTGGATCAGTCGAATCTGTTATAAGTGTAAATCGCTCATCCGAACATCCCGAATGTAAGCTAATGAGCTAGAAATGCGCATTTTGACGATACTTAAACGATTACCTTACAGATGCCGATAAATTAGGCGAGCTCGGTCCTTCGCTGGGCATGAAAAAATCTTCCAGTTTAGAGTCGCTACAAACCATGGTGCAAGAGGTGATTTGAGCTGCTTGTGTGACCCCGAATTGACTCTCTGTTTTCAGATTCAAATGCAAGAGGAAGGAGATCCCGCCTACAGTTACAGGGGTGGAAGCGGCGCTTTGAAGGTTATTCGTGGACGGGGATGCGACGAAAGTTTTCGTGCGGCCGTTGATAAGGACTATGACAAACACTTGGACCCGAATCATCGGGAGACGAACGCGAAAAAACACTGGTTACTCGACCCTCCTTCGGACTTCGAACGAGACCCCGAGGGTTTTACGAATGTCAGGGGAGGTCCGCGGCAATCCTCGCTAAACGCCGCCCTGGACGTTAAGAATAAACACGCAAAGAAGAAGCCGGGGTTGTTTAAAGGAATCGGTTCTATGTTCAGGTAAAAAGTACCTATCCGCATCCAATTCCGAATTCATCGATTGTTTTGTGCAGGTTTGGAAAGCACAGGAAGATGGATTTTGTTAACGCCGAACCGGTGCAATCCTACCAGAACACTGCGGAATTCGACGCGGACCCCCCCAGCCAGCAACAGCTGCAGGATAACGGGAACAATATCAACCACGCTGTCGCTCAGAAGTCATCAGACGACCTTTCTGAGAAGAAAAGCGAGCAGCTCTATCAGAAGCACGGTTTTCTACACAGGCACGCCGAGCAGGTGCAGGTATGTACTTGCAGTTGTTTGCGAAGGAATCTAACGTTGGTGGGTAGGTGATACCGGAAGGGGCGATACCACCAATGAGGTATCGTAACAACAACGTTCACCTGGATAGTAACTCGAACCGGGGCGAAAGGAGTCAACTAATGCGAGCCTACGAGCAACGTCAGGCCCAGCGGCAAGCGCATTATGCCGCATTCGAGCGCGACAATGAGACTGACCAAAGAATACGATTGGTAAGTGCCAATGCATAACTGCAGATGTCAGAATCTGAGTCTATTGCAGCAAAATGAGCAAAACGTAAACTATGGCGAGTATGGACGACCGGGAAGCAGATCCGGGATATCCGATCCTGTCCGATTTACTCACTACGTTAACTACAACGAACTGCAAAACCACCTCAGGTAAGACCGCTGTACAAATACAATCACTTGCTTTACGTCTGTCTCGACTTTGTGCACATTTCATTTGTCACTAACTGATATGTTGCATGACTTTATCATTATGAGGCGGCCATTTTGTTTATATTTGCGAAATGTGTGTGCGAAGTAACTGAAAACTGTCCGTATTTTATCCTATAGCGGCCGAAAAGAGACGCTGTCTGATAGTCAAATTGTTCAGATGCGTCTGCAGGTGCAGCAACAACGATTAAAGGTGGAGGAGGAAAGGTATGCACCACCTGTTTGAAGATACATGCTTGGGAAGCACGATACTCCTGTCTCTCTTTCTGCTTTCAATACCTGCACGTTTCTGTACTAACAATCGAAAATGAATGTTTTGCTAATTATTTCAACGTTGAAATGATTATTAAAGATTCATTAAGAATTTCTATGTAAATATTTCTATCATACATTAGCATGAAAATTACTTTCAGTTTTCTTTTCTACCTTGAGCGTTGTAGCGTTATCCTTATTTTGATTCTTTTTGTATTACGATTGGAATGTATCTCAACGTGCGCCACGTAATTGACTAATTGAGCCACTTCTCCAGCTTCTTAATAGAAAGTAAGTACTCGCTCATTGGGTGTATTTTGCAAAAAGAAATGAATATTTTTATTGTTCTTAGTCCTACTGAAGTAGAGGGTCTACAACAGTTCAGGCCCACTTTTGCCTAAAACTCCATGTATCTCTTGTACAAAATTCTAAGGTCCATTTTAGTAGTTTTTGGATCACTCTGGTCATGTGCGCATACGCTTTTGCCAACAGCTTTGCCCAACAGGTCCAACAGCTTTGTCAACAGGTTCAAAATGTGGCGGGGCCCGCATGCGCACATGCCCGAAGTGAACCAAATACTGCCACAATTGATTTGGATTCGAGACAGAAGCGATGAGAGCGCCTGTTGTGAAAATATGAACTAGCCCGCACTTCGGTTTTTGAGAAACCTCAACCTTGGGCCAGAGATGTTCCGGAACCAAAAGAGCCAGATTACCCAAAATTTTACATTCCACGGTTATCCTTCCTCTGTGGGTCGATAATTACAACAAATGAGAGAGTTGCGAATTTATTGTTCGAGTCATGCATGTCTGATTTTTGGCCATTTCTCAAATCCTATTTCATTTTAGGATTCTATCCACTCCATTTATCAAAGAAATTTTTGATAATTTCAAAGATGGACTGTGGTAAAGCTCTGAGTGAGATCTTTTCCATATCGATCGTTCGTAGAAATCTGGGAAAAAGACTATTTGTTATGAATTGAATCTCATCCCGATCACAGGAGAGTGAATCAGTTGGTTTATCCCCCTCCCTTCATGTGAATCACGTGGGTCAAAGCTTTTATACAAATCAAGACTAAGTGAACGTCTGGCATGTTGAGAGGCATTCCGCATCACTAATATCAAAGCTTGCACCAGTACTTAAAGACTGTGCCTGGTTAACAAAATGGTGGGTAACCCGGGATTTTTGCTTACAGCCGAAAACAGCACCAGTATCATTCGCAGCGACAGGTACGCAACGACAACCAATTGCGGCCGGTCTCCAACTTTTACGAGTATGAAAGTGTACAGTCAATTTTGAACGCACACGGCAGACCGACTAACGCGTACCCTCAGCAACCGCCACCGTACCAAGATCCGGTTGCCGCCAGCTCGTCGTCGAGGCCGACACCGAGCAGGCAGCACGCCGCAAACACTCGCCACCTGACGCCCTATCAGCAGCTCAGGGGACCTTTCATCACTCACGTTACGATAGGCGACCATCAGCCTCAGCAGGCCGGATCTCGAGTGTAAACTTTTAATAATTTTAGTCTTTGTGTTTATAGTGTATTTATTATTATATAACTTTTACTGTGTACATTCCCCCATTTTGCCACGGCGTGGCAAAGCGTTTTTAGGATAATTTTTATCGTAGCATGTTCTTTAATCCCTTCAATTGTATAATATAAAGTATTAATTGCGCGAGAAATTTATGTAATTGTTTTATAATGTATATTATTTATAAACGCTTTATGAGGTCACATTGACTACCGATATCTAACTGTGTATACACCACAGACATAGTATTATTTTGTAATGTACATAAACTTTATTAAAGGCTATTGATGAATCAACAACTGTTCTTCCAGAAAGGGACTAGATACAGGTTGCTCTTTAAAAAATATAATCCCGCCACCCATCGTGATGTAGTGGTCCAATATTAAAAATTTTGATCGTTTTGGACACCTAGTAAGCCAATTCAAAGGGCCAAAGTCTATAAGAAAATATTTTATCCTGGTCAGGCAAGGTATAGCCTATGCATTTTCACCGAGAATTAACCGCTTCCAAATTGATGGAGAAATCTCTTTTTCTTATTAATTTTTCCTCCTAGAAAGGTAAAAAAGAATTATAAGAAAAAGTGTTTTCCTGGCAAATTTTGGAGTAGTAGATTTTCGGTGAAAAACGAAGGTAATACTCCGCATACTTCCATTACCTTGCCTACCTTGAAGTGTGTAAAATTATATTAAAAAACAAACGGTCGATTTCAGACAATTTTTTTTACCTAAAAAGAGGCAAGTGTATAACATTCGTTTTTCACCGAAAATTGACTACTCCAAAATATGTCGGGAAAACACTTTTTATTATTAATTTTGGTGCGTAGAATCCAAATCGAATCGTACTTTTACGATTAGACTTCTCAATCAAAAGTTATGGACTAAAAACCAATTTCGAAAGAAAATTCAAAGGGATGTAACTTTTGATCAAGTAGCCCAATCTTGGAACTGTTTGAAATTATGGAATCTACAGGCCATAGTCTATAAGAAAATGTTTTTTTCCGGTCGATCTGAGACAATTTTTTTATGGGGCCTCAAAAAAAGGCAGTGTATAACCTTCCTTTTTTACCAAAAATCGACTACACCAAAATTTCATGTAGGATTTGTAGAGCAAATGTACTTCTGATCCAGTATCTGGAATTGCCATTTGTGTATGCAATTGGTACATTTGCGCCATCTCTTTGGTAATCCCTATACTTTTCCAAACTAAATACGTGTAACAGTTGAACAAGTTGCAATGAGATGTCGCCACGTACGACACTAACTTCACAAGAACATTTTAATTTATGCACTTAATAGCCACGTCCAACTCAATTTTCCTTAAAGGGCAGTTGAAAATGTGCAATTACATGTAGGATCTGTGGAGCAATTGTACTTCAATGATCCAGTATCTGGAATTGTCTTTTGTGTATGCAATTGGTACGTTTGCGCCATCTCTTTGGTAATCGCTATACTTCTCCAAAATAATTTCTTGTAAGAGTTGAAACAGTTCCAATGAGATGTCGCCACGTACGTAACTACCTTCATAAGTACATTTTAATTTATGCCCTTAATAGCCACGTCCGACTCAATTTTCCTTAAAGAGCAGTTGAAAATGTGCAATTTCATGCAGGATTTGTAGAGCAATTGTACTTCAATGATCCAGTATCTGGAATTGTCTTTTGTGTATGCAATTGGTACATTTGCGCCATCTCTTTGGTAATCCCTACACTTTTCCTTATTATTTTCTTGTAATAGTTGAACGAGTTCCAATGAGATGTCGCCACGTACGAAATACCTTCACAAGAACATTTTAATTTATGCACTTAATAGCCACGTCCGACTCAATTTTCCTTAAAGGGCAGTTGAAAATGTGCAATTTCATGTAGGATTTGTAGAGCAAATGTACTTCAATGATCCAGTATCTGGAATTGCCTTTTGTGTATTCAATTGGTACATTTGCGCCATCTCTTTGGTAATCCCTATACTTTTCCAAACTAAATTCTTGTAACAGTTGAACCAGTTCCAATGAGATGTCGCCACGTACGACACTTACTTCACAAGAACATTTTAATTTATGCACTTAATAGCCACGTCCGACTCAATTTTCCTTAAAGGGCAGTTGAAAATGTGCAATTTCATGTAGGATTTGTAGACCAATTGTACTTCAATGATCCAGTATCTGGAAATTGTCTTTTGTGTATGCAATTTGTACATTTGCGCCATCTCTTTTGTAATCCCTATACTTTTCCTTATTATTTTCTTGTAATAGTTGAACCAGTTCCAATGAGATGTCGCCACGTACGAAATTACTATCAAAAGAACATTTTAATTTATGCACTTAATAGCCACGTCAGACTCAATTTTCCTTAAAGGGCAGTTGAAAATGTGCAATTTCATGTTGGATTTGTAGAGCAATTGTACTTCAATGATCCAGTATCTGGAATTGTCTTTTGTGTATGCAATTGGTACATTTGCGCCATCTCTTTGATAATCCAAATACTTTTCCTTATTATTTTCTTGTAATAGTTGAACTAGTTCCAATGAGATGTCGCCACGTACGAAATTACCTTCAAAAGAACATTTTAATTTATGCACTTAATAGCCACGTCCCACTCAATTTTCCTTAAAGAGCAGTTGAAAATGGTGCAATTTCATGTAGGATTTGTAGAGCAAATGTACTTCAATGATCCAGTATCTGGAATTGCCTTTTGTGTATTCAATTGGTACATTTGCGCCATCTCTTTGGTAATCCCTATACTTTTCCAAATTTTATTCTTTTAATAGTTGAACGAGTTCCAATGAGATGTCGCCACGTACTACATTACCTTCTCAAGAACATTTTAATTTATGCACTTAATAGCCACGTCCGACTCAATTTTCCTGAAAGGGCAGTTGAAAATGTGCAATTTCATGTAGGATTTGTAGAGCAAATGTACTTCAATGATCCAGTATCTGGAATTGCCTTTTGTGTATTCAATTGGTACATTTGCGCCATCTCTTTGGTAATCCCTATACTTTTCCAAACTAAATTCTTGTAACAGTTGAACCAGTTCCAATGAGATGTCGCCACGTACGACACTAACTTCACAAGAACATTTTAATTTATGCACAATAGCCACGTCCAACTCAATTTTCCTTAAAGGGCAGTTGAAAATGTGCAATTTCATGTAGGATTTGTAGAGCAAATGTACTTCAATGATCCAGTATCTGGAATTGCCTTTTGTGTATGCAATTGGTACATTTGCGCCATCTCTGTGGTTAATCCCTATACTTTTCCAAATTTATTTCTTGTAATAGTTGAACCAGTTCCAATGAGATGTCGCCACGTACGACACTAACTTCACAAGAGCATTTTAATTTATGCACTTAATAGCCACGTCCGACTCAATTTTCCTTAAAGGGCAGTTGAAAATGTGCAATTTCATGTAGGATTTGTAGAGCAAATGTACTTCAATGATCCAGTATCTGGAATTGCCTTTTGTGTATTCAAATGGTACATTTGCGCCATCTCTTTGGTAATCCCTATACTTTTCCAAACTAAATTCTTGTAACAGTTGAACCAGTTCCAATGAGATGTCGCCACGTACGACACTAACTTCACAAGAACATTTTAATTTATGCACAATAGCCACGTCCAACTCAATTTTCCTTAAAGGGCAGTTGAAAATGTGCAATTTCATGTAGGATTTGTAGAGCAAATGTACTTCAATGATCCAGTATCTGTAATTGTCTTTTGTGAATGCAATTGGTACATTTGCGCCATCTCTTTGGTAATTCCTATACTTTTCCTTATTATTAATTATTAATAGTTGAACAAGTTCCAATGAGATGTCGCCACGTACGAAATTATCTTCCAACGAACATTTTAATTTATGCACTTAATAGCCACCTCCGACTCAATTTTCCTTAAAGGGCAGTTGAAAATGTGCAATTTCATGTAGGATTTGTAGAGCAATTGTACTTCAATGATCCAGTATCTGTAATTGTCTTTTGTGTATGCAATTTGTACATTTGCGCCATCTCTTTGGTAATCCCTATACTTTTCCTTATTATTTTCTTGTAATATTTGAACCTGTTCCAATGAGATGTCGCCACGTACGAAATTACCTTCCAAAGAAAATTTAATTTATGCACTTAATAGCCACGTCCGACTCAATTTTCCTTAAAGGGTAGTTGAGAATGAATGTGCAATTTCATGTAGGAATTGTAAAGCAATTGTACTTCAATG